GGACATTTGAGGAGCCAGTGTAGGAGGAATATTACCAACAAGTCGGCCTTAAGGAGACCTGTAGTGGTTGGTGTTGAGCGACGCTCACCAACCCCCATCATGAAAGTCCTAACAGCTAGGTGTAAAATGCCAAGCACACACAGTGTCTATGTGACAGGAAAGATGGATGGCCAAAGGTGCAACTTTGTCATAGACTCTGCGTCTCAGCAAACCCTTGTGAGCATCAAGGTGTTAGATCATAAAGTAGTACCAGAAGCCATACAGAAGCTTTATGGTGTGACAGGACATTCTAAAATATTGTGGGGACCAGTGTGGGTAACTATTGAGCTCATGGGCATAAAGGACAAACAGAACGTATACTTAGCTGACATTGAAGACGAATGCATATTAGGATTGGACTATCTACTACCAAGGAAGTTTGTAATTGATTTTGATAAAATGACGTTTGGGAACAACAAAGGCCAAGTTCCGGTAACTGTCAAAAGAGAGGTTGAGCTGATTGGGTGCCAGCGGGCTGAAGTCAAGCCGACTGAAAAAGTTGATGATGATGAAGTGGAACTAAATACAGATATCAAAGCAGAACAGGAGAAAGACCAAGATTTGAAGCCTATAATTGATTTCCTAAAAGCAAGTGTTTTGCGCCCTGCTTGGGAGAAGGTGTCTAGTCTAAGCCCTGTGATAAAGCACTATTGGGCGCAATGGGAGCAGTTGAAGCTTGAAAATGGTATTCTTGTCCGGAGACGGGAAACTACAGATGGGAAAGTGACGACTTGGCAAACAGTTATACCGAGGAAGTTACGGGAAGTTGTGCTGCGTCGATCCCATGATAATTTAACAGGAGGACATCTCGGAATTAGGAAGACATTGAGTCATCTACGACAAAGATTTTACTGGATAGGTATGAGGTGAGATGTGGAAGATTGGTGCAGGACATGCAGTACATGTGGTGCTAAAAGGGGACCCAAGCATAAGGGATGCCCACCTTATGAAGAGTTGCCTGTGAATATGTCAGACTTTGTGGAAGTGTTACCGGAAAGGATGGATGATATTCACCATCAAGTGCGTTCAAACTTGAAAACGTCTGCTGATTCGATGAAGTTATCTTATGATAAGAGATCTACTGAAGTCAGCTTTGTACCAGGAGACAAAGTGTGGAAGACCAAAGGGAAGTCTCCTAAGTTGTCTTCTCCATGGGAAGGCCCATATGACATAGTGGATCGTCTTTCAGACGTGATTTTCCGAATAAAATGTGGTCGGCGAGGTAAGCCAAAGGTGGTGCATGCCAACAGGCTTTGGCGTTATCACGGTCCAGGACATTTCAGTTGGGACAAAGTGAACAACGGAACAAAAGAAGCCACTGAAGACGTGTCACCTGAAAAAGCCATTGTCGAAGAAGAAACTCTACTCGGTTTTGAGAAGGAAATCAGTGAAGCCGTTAAAGAAGTTACTACCACTGATGTGACTATTACCGATAATAGGACATTTCCTGATGTAGCAGATGAACCCCACGCGAAACAGAAGCCAACGAGACGGAGACCAGTATGGAAGAAGATACGTCCCGTAAAATTAAGAGACTTTATTGAATTGTAATTTTGTGTTTGTAATTCTGTACATTTTAATTAAGTTAGTGTTATTGGTTTATTGTATGTGGCTATTGTTCGGGACGAACAATACTAAGGAGGGGGGCAGTGTTGCGTCAGCGAGATCACGTGACTATTGTCACGCCACCTGCTTTCTAGAACTATCCCGTTCCTTCGGGAGTGCTCTAGCATTTACTAGATATAGGGTAGTCTGGTATATATAAGATGGTCACAACGTGACGGGACAACAATGTGTAGGTAATGAGTAATTGAACTGCAGTCAGAGAGAGACGTATTGTTGAAATCTAGCTCGTGATACGTGAATTATAGTTTGTTATAGCGCAACTGTTGAAGTTGAGTGTATCGGTACAGTTATATTCAGAAAGAATAAACCAGTTTTATTTAAGAAAGGACTTGTGTCGCTAAAGTTTCGTCGGAACGAAGTTACGGAAAGTTATATAACAAACGGAGACATAACAGAGGTATTCATTGAAAACATCTTTCGAACCGTAGTGTCTGTCCGAGCGTTCGCCTGTCTCCCGTTTACGACGGCCTCTTCCAGCGCTGCGTTTGAAAAAGCTGCGCATGCAAAGTTTAACATACTCTTGAAATAACGGGAGAACAGGCATGAATAATGTTGATGCCAAATTTTATTTTGCAAGCAGGATATTCTACACTAAACTGTTAGGAATTAATCACATTATCATTCACATTTCAAAATGTGACGTAACTTAAAGAATAAAAATGTAGATTTACCGAATGTTTTTGTTGAGCGGCTCTTAGCATGACTGAAATACTCAACAATTACTTTTCGCTGTGGGTGGTTTAAGTAGCTTAGAGCTTTGACTCCAAGCGAAATCAAGAGTGCAGCACAATTAACCTTTTTAAAGTCTACGAAGTAATTCAAATTGATAGATTAACTTAAACTTGTCCCGTCACTGGGAGGTATAAGTAGCTCAGAGCTTTGGCTCTGAGTGAAACACAATTAACCTTTTTAAAGTCTGTGAAATAACTTAAATTGACAGATCTATATTCATATTGATATTCATAATATCGAAGAAAACTTGCTTTTTGTCACACACACACTGGTGTAACTTTTACATAACATTAAGACTAAAGTGTCACGTCTGTAACAGTAGGGATTCGAACCCGCGATCCTCAGATTGCGAGTCGAGTGCCTTAACCACCTGGCCATGCCGGGCCCATAATCGTGAGCTTGTGGGTTTAACACTTGCTTGTTTCTTGTATTTGTGTCCTTGGTCAAAATACTATACTCCGCACTTGTCTCAGTCCATCCAGTCCTAACATAGGTACTAGACAATACATGAAGGTTATCCGATTAAGTACGTAGCACCATCTCATCCACGTGTGACAATGAATTCCAAGTTAAGCACAGACGGATAAACTTTTATTCATATACTTTGTTAGTCTTTTGGAGTACCAGGACAGACCTACTTGATACATAGTAGAAAATATTATTGTAACTTCTGAATATTAAGATAAACTTTTACCTTAAAATAATCTTTCCATTGTTCCATTGATGACATCTCTGACCAAACGTAAAATAGAGGAACGGAAGTCACGCCCAGTGTAAGAAAATATCCTCCCGGTTTCAATAAACGACGAACAGTGTTCAAATATTTTCGACAATCTTTGACGAAATGAAAAGAAAAGAAAGAAAATACCTTGTCAAACATTTTGTCCCACTCTTGAGGGGTCCTGAAAGTAAATAATACATTAATCTATTAAGTTTGATATTCAACTCACTCTAACCAGTAAGATGCTCAAAACTGGTTTGAATTCTACTTTAAACTTTCTAATGTGATTAAAGTGTAATTTAAAAAAAGCTTCGTACTTTCTGAAGAATAATATAAAGTAACAAGCTAGGGAGTTTTCCTAATTTAAAAATAATTATTTGTGAATGTTATTTGCAAACCCACTGGGTAAAATTGCAAGCTTTTAGAAATTCAACAATGCTAAGAATTTTTATATATTAATGCTAACCTCCTTTAATATCAAATTCAAAACCATAACTTCAAAGCCTAGGACTAGTAAGGGTATTCATAAAATTTCTACGCAACTGTTCATTACGATTATTCAGCTATACAGATAGAAATTCCGTTTTCCAAATACAAACTTTTAAACCTGAATATAGATAACCCTTATCAAAAGAGGTAAATATCCGTTATTATTGTAGAATACTTCTGTTTTGATCAGTTATACAATATTTAGTTTTATATACTCAAAATCTATCACGAATTTTGGGGCATTTCTCTCATCTCTCCTGAGTAGCATCAGTTCCACAGAACAAAACACAACATACTCCTTACAGTCTTGAAATATTCAAATTACTTAAATATAAAACATTTTGAGTCTAATAGAACAAAGTATCCAAACTATTTTGAACTCCTGAATATAGCCGACCGATTAGTTTTCTGTAAAATATCTACGAAAAATGTACAATGTTTTTCACAAAATACTTTCGTCAGAATAATTCTACTTAAACGATATACCCCAATAATAATTCTTACTCTACCTTTCCATTATATCCAGTACCATGTATTCAATCTTTTCATGGTTGAATGTCTGCTTGGCGTAGTCCACAACAGCTGGTTGGACTTCAAGTGCTATAACCTTGGTCAGATTTGGACAGTGTGGTAAAAGCACATCTCTAGTTACATGACCTGAACCGCAACCAAAATCCAATCCAACTTCTTCATTTGACCAGGTCATTTGCGAGACATAATGAGACAATCTTGACTCTATCCAGTCTATATATGATTTTGGTCTAGTTGAAACATACTGGGCTGGTTTTGGATTCATCCTATAAATCATTCATTAATTCAATACTCTTTTGAATAAAAAAATGACATGAGAAGAAAATGATTTATTCTGTTGTTACTATTTCACTTTTCAAGATATAGCCTATATAGAATTATTGTGATAAAATAAGCTATTTTTTACACTGAAAAATCTCAGAGTTTTAAATCCAATACTTGTATCTAAATGTGGCGCCGATGACTGTCAAAAGACGACCGAGATAGTGGCGTCAGCAAACCTTTATGTAACTCCCCCGGAAGCCCTAAAGGTACATGCTAGGTTCAAAGCTTGTCGGTCGGTTATACTCAAACACAAACACACACACGTATAGGCCTCTAGTCAAATAACAATATATATATATATATATGTAACTAATGATTGTTTGTTTGTTTGTTTGTTTTTTTTAATTTCGCGCAAAGCTACACGAGGGCTATCTGTGCTAGCCGTCCCTAATTTAGCAGTGTAAGACTAGAGGGAAGGCAGCTAGTCATCACCACCCACCGCCAACTCTTGGGCTACTTTTTTACCAACGAATAGTGGGATTGACCGTCACATTATAACGCCCCCACGGCTGAAAGGGCGAGCATGGTTGGTGTGACGAAGTTCATAGTGCCAACCAGTAGCCCTCAACCTCCCCATAAATATTTGGTGCATTAGCTATATTATCCTAAAATAATTACCGCTAAGAACTACCGATATCACCGAACACGATGTCAACTAAGTAGTACAGGATGTCCCACAATGAATATACCAAAACTACATTTGAATAACATTTTATTGTTTGAGATAACAACAACATTCAAAATAAACTATCTTCTGAAGTCTTGTAAGTTTTACTGAAGTTTATTATTATTATTCTCCATCCCTACAGCTGTGTTGGAAAATGTGGAAATATTTGAATAATACTGATTATAGCTAATTATGGAAGAGATGTAAAAGTTTAATAATTGAATTAGATAAAATTTACAAGCCTTCAGTAGATATCTTGTTTTGAATTTTATTGTTATCTTAAATAAATAAATGCAAGTGGGCTAAACGGTCAGGGTTGGGTTATAGCCATCTCCATAATTTACGGCTACCGATGAAAAGGAAAGCAGCCAGTCAGCAGAGCCTGTCGCACAAATGAATTTGAACTATAGTATTCCAATAAAGAACATGATTCAAAATCATTGGGGTAAATGCAGAAAGGTAGTGAAAAAAAAAGACTGAATGGACCAGAGGAATAAAATTACTCCCAAAAAATCCAAATTGAGGACATCAGAAATGAAGGACGCTTAAAAAAGAAAATATTGAGATCAGTAAAGGAGTAATAGAGTAGAAAGTGTGATCAAGCACAGGTACCAAAATTCAATAGAGGTACCTCAGAAATCCAGCTAAAATAATATAGAATTTGGCAAGTAATATGGCATAATTTCTGTCAAAACCGTGATCCAGCACATCCCAGTATGTCAAAAAAATTTTGGAAAATGTCACAAAAGTTTGGAAAGATCATCAAGGAGGTGGGTGCGTGGATCACATTAGATAAAAAGGCGATATGGTAAGAAATGACGAAAACAAAAAGTAATAATTTCTTACAAAAGTATATGATCCAGTTATAAGAAACGTGGCATGCTTTTGTGAGATGAGGATGGCAGAAAGTGAATAACAGACTACAAGAGGGAGCTCATACACACACATAGATGGAAACAACAAAGAGCTTAGATTAATTGAAGAAAATTATTCAAGCAAGAAAGAGAAAATCTACACCAGACTCAGATAGTGTGAGATACTACAAAATTAAACTCACTCTACACAGAAGAAAAGAGAAATAGCTGAAATGATCTATATATGTCCATGATAGAGGGGAAATATAGAAGGACCTACGAGGGGGATCACTGGCAGTACTGTCCAAATCGTTCAAAGATCATCATACACTAATGTCAAAGGTATGGAAAAAATGCATGCCAAATGTAATAGCAAAGAAAGAAACAAACAAAAAACGCATACACTGCTGGATGCATTGTCTGACAGCCTCATCACTTTTTTACTTTTTCTTTCCATCCTGGTAGGCAGACAATCTCTCAGCTATATTTCGTGCAAGTCTTTCCTTACTGCTACATTTTCCATGAACTAAAGACTCTGGGAATCTTGAACTTTCCATTATGATAAATATTGCACAAGGAACTTTGAGTTTAAATTTGGCAAATAGAGGTCTGACACTTTTAAAATCACTTCTGGCTTGCCACGAGGATCCTTTGTGAGTCTTGTCTTCTTTAACATATGCACAGCTGATCTGGTCAACATGCTGGAAAACCTTAGAGTAGCATGGTTTACATATGTTGATAATATAATTCTTACATGTGTCATACACACCTGTGAAAAGAATAATGGGTCTGCAAAAAGTTAGAAAAACCTCAGTCACCGGCCTGTAGATATCAAAATGTTTATACAATCCGATAAAGCCTTTTGGATGTTGATTACCAGATCTCACACAAATAATTCTCTTTTCATACTGACGTATGCAAGCAGAAGTGTCCCAAATACTTTTCAATTCTTTTCTGACTGTTGTGATAAACCATAGAAGGATAATGTCTACATACATTGATCATCTGAGATAAAAATTAGTGAAGAGTTTTATCCTTCTCAAAAATATTGTAACCAGAAAGTACAGCAAATCATCCAAGAAGAACATGAATCATCTAACTAGTAAGGCACAGTCTTTGAACCATTTTCGTAAGATCTTTGAATGATGTCGTCAGTTAAAAAACTGTAGATTGAGGGAACAGGAAAAGCTGGAACAGTGGTCACGCTGGTCAAATGGAAAACTGGAGGAAAGGAGGAAGTATAGAAGTGAAGCGAGAATGAAAATCTATGGAAAGGACAGATATTATTTGACTTTAGTTGAGCATTATTGCTAGTAGAATCTTCAGTTGTTTATCGGTAAGAAGAGAGTCTATGCCAAAGCTGATTCCAAACTCCAAGGTATAAATAGTTGTAAAAGTAATAGCATCAAAACTGAATTATTTCTACAGAGTACGTGGTGTTACAAATTAAAATACTTATAATAGAAAGTCATGTGATGATTAATAATACTATGATATGAAGTAAAGATGGTTGCTGCTAAATGATTGCATCCCTGTAGTCGCTGGCTCATAAATAAGTGCGAGACAATATTATCGTTGCTGTGCATTTACAAATGTGTTGTGATGGGACTCCACAGGTAGAGAGACGAGCGCTTATGCGTTGGACAGTGCTAAACTCCTCTAATGTGTAAATAAGTACAATACAAAATGCTATTATTAACAATAGATTAATAAGTATAAATTAAGATATATGATTAAATATATTTTGTCTGATTAACCCTTCTTTAAGTGTGTTGATAATCCCCTTTGGACATTTAAACGTTGGCTGTCCTGATGATTAGCACGTCGGAATATGGATCAAAGGGTTCACGGTTTATGACGTGAAGCCACTCAATTATCGGTACTTTTAGGCGTGGGTGCATTATAAAAGTAACGATTAACCCCACATTTTTTTTTCACAGAGCCAAACAGGCTGCGACAGGCTCTGCTGACTGGCTGCTTTCCTTTTCATCGTTATCTGTAAATTATGGAGATGGCTATACCCCAACCCTGAGACTCTGTGCCCTGTCCGTTTAACCCACTTGCATATGTAGTGCCATTCAGGTTTAAAATTCCTTGAAATCTTAAGTTATGGGTGAAGTACATAACGATGTTAATATGTTTTCCTGTTTATATTTCTGTTTTAATGATGTTTCTATCATAAGAGAGGCTTTATATTTTGTATGCCAAACTTTAGCTCACAATAATCAACATATAAATCGCAAGCTTTCAAGATAACAGCAAAACATATGGTACCTATTTTCAACACAACTTTACTACAATTACCCATACACTTTCATACTTTATTCTCAAAGTATAATCTTTTTTTATTAGAATAAATATATTTTTGAATAGGCTTCTGTGTCAAGCAAACCATCATACACAGTCTTCCAATAAAATTCAATAACATTTATTTATTTAAGATAACAATAAAATTCAAAACAATTCACGGGTTCACGGTTTATGACGTGAAGCCACTCAATTATCGGTACTTTTAGCTGTGGATGCATTATAAAAGTAACGATTAACTCCACATTTTTTTTTCACAGAGCCAAACAAAAAGAACTTGATGAACACATCTCAATACATCAGTGTAAAAATTTGATTTTCGAAAATGAATTTAAAACTACCACATTAAATTTCACAATGTTTTCTTTGAGTCGCAGAATGTAAAAGTACTGGTGCATTTTAAATTACCTGAGGACTTTACTGTAGCTCATTGTTGTCATACAGTCTGAAATTAATAAACTATGGGCATTGAAACAAAAAAAAAGAGACATGTCAGGAATCCCGGTATTTATCTAAGGAAATGTACGTATGCTATATAGCTCACTTTTTTTCATTCAGACAAATGCAGTTTTTTGTGTCTAAGCAAACTTATTATAAATTTCTATTTTAAAACTAAATATTCACTATATTATATTCACCCACAGGACATCGAAAAATTTATTCCGGCTACCCATTTGTGGAATGACCCTTGTGGTAAATTCATAAAATTGGCAAAGGAGTGTGACTTTGATCCCATTATCATTACTTCAAGTTCTGCATTAAATTTTTTCAGATCAAAGAAAGAATTCCTGGGTAAGGGAGCTGTTCAATAATATAGTTATAGTTTGTTAGCAAATATTTAATAACATGTTCATTGTTAAATGTTTTCACTGAATGGATATTGTTTGATGTATAGGAGTTTTCAGTTGTCAATAGATAACCCGGCTCAAAATATACCACGTATTGCATATTTCTCTTTAATTTTAGCTTCGTCGTATCCTATGAGATGTATTGTTGGTGAAACTTTTGTGTATTTGAAAAATAAAAATATAATCACGATAAACAAACAAACCATGAAATTCGAGTCTAGAATGGTAGGACACATTTGTAGATTTGTAAATGTATGGTTAGTACATCAAAGAACATTAGAAGTAGTCACCGTTGGGCAAAATATAGGAAGTCTAATGTCAAATATTCATAAAAATGCTTTGACAGAACCATAGAAATGCTGATACATTTCCCAAAGACCATGTGTTAATGAATAATGTAAACACTGTGGAATAAAAAGATAATTAGGATGACCAACCTAAGGTACAATAGAGAACAGAACAAGATGGAGCAATTGCTAGTGATGATAAAGAACTAATGTGGTCCAACACGCAACTGAAAGATGCTGAGCAAGAGATATGAATTTGAAACCAACTATTCAGTTAATCAAGAAGAGTGCAGAATAACCCTCATACCAAATCCACTCACTTCATACAGCTTAAAGACAAAGGTTACTGGACACAGTGGTGTTCATTATGCCTCATAGTGGGTTTATTATGTGAAAAATGGGAAGATACCACTAGATAGAATCAATTACTACAGTTGTTATGACTACAGTATCTATAATTCTAAGGCCATTGTAATCTCTGCAACCTTCATATGACTGAACAATTAGGTGGGAAGAAGACACTGGAAAGAGTAAAAAAACAATTCTTTTTGGTTGGGTACTAGAAATCTGTAGATAACTGATGTAAATGATGTGCACTATGCTGTGAACAACAACAAAAACAGCATGAAGCATGAGCAGCTACAGCAGAGGTATGTTAGGCTTGGTCCTCTGCTACAAAGTAAAAGTGAGAATATATATATATATCATATTTGTGACAGACTATTTTACCAAATGGACAGAAACATACGCTGTTCCTTACCGAAAAGTAGACATTTTATCAAGGAAACTCGTCAATGAACTCTTTTCAATATTTAGGGTACCTATGAAGCTTCATTTAGATCAGGGTTGGAACTTTGAATAAACGTTGTTTGTGAAAATGTGTTAGATCATTGAAATCACTAAAACTAGAACAACAACCCAACATCCCTCTTCTGATGGCATGGCGGAGACGTACGATTATACAGTTTTAAACCGATTAGTCATTTATGCGAATGAGCATTAGAAAATACTAAATCGAAACCTTTCACTAGTGCATTTGAGTTATTGAATAGCAGTCACAACATCATCACTGATGTTTCTAGAGAACGTATAGTGCCTTTGGATTTTCTTCACTGCTTCACTCCTAAAGGGCAGCTTGTGATAAAATGAAAAGTTTCTGTAATATTAACGCTGATAATACTAGATTTCATCGATTTATTTGTTTGTTTTGAATTTCGCGCAAAGCTACACGAGGGCTATCTGTGCTAGCCGTCCATAATTTAGTAGTGTAAGGCAGCTAGTCATCACCACCCACCGCCAACTTTTGGGCTATTCTTTTACCCACGAATAGTGGGATTGATCGTCACAGTATAACGCCCCCACGGATGAAAGGGCGAGCATGTTTGGTGTGACGAGGATTCGAACCCGCGACCCGCAGATTGCGAGCCGAGCGCCCTAACCTCCTGACCGTGCGGGGCCAGATTTTATCGAGGTGACATGGTATGGTAAAATTCTTGTTGCAAGAAAGAACAAACTCCAAGGCTAAGCAGAAGTTGTGGAGAGCTATATTTTGTACTAAAAAGAACCAATGGAGTGATTTAGAAAACCAAGTAGGACAGACAGGTGGACCAAGCTAAAGGTCATCCACCATGATTGTGTAAGGAACTACAGCAGTGAGAGAATAGCAAGCTGGTCAACTTTAGAGAAAAATATGTCATTGGATACTCAATCTGATAATGAGCACGGGCTTCTGTTGAGACTAATTCCAGAGGATTACCCATGATAGCACTGCTAGTGGATTTATTCGACTATCAAACTAGGTAGAACTTCCCAATGGCAGAAAATGATGATAAGAGACAAGAAGTCATCACATCTGCATACCATATCCTCAGAGAGGAAAACCGCCAAAAATAATTGGTGAATGGACAGTTTAGTGTACTGTTTATTTGTGTATTAGGAATGTTTAAGAGATTTTACAATCCAGGAAGGGTCAACGTTTTTAGGTGTATATATTTATTTAGATGTTTGTTTGCTAGAGGATGCATAACCCACAATCTAGAAATTCAATGAAAGCTAATTATATACAAATTTCCCATAGTATGTAGAGATAAGAGTACGGTATATATACTAGATCCA